ACATAGGGAGACACATGTCTCCATGTCCCCATGTCTCCCAGTCAGTGTCCTTAGTGTCTCAGTGTCCCCATGGCTCCTAGTGTCTCCTAGTCTCCCAGTGTCTCTGTCCCCATGTCTCTCAGTGTCTGCATGTCTCCCCATGTCTCCGTGTCCCCAGGTCTACCAGTGTCTACATGTCTCCCAGCCATTGTCCTTAGTGTCTCAGTGTCCCCAAATGTATCAGTGTCCCCATGTCTCCCAGTGTCCCCATGTCTATGTCCACAAGTGCCCCCATGGCTATGTCCACAAGTGCCCCCCATGTCTCCCAGTGTCCCCAAGTGTCTGTGTCCCCATGCCTTCCAGACAGTGTCCCTAGTGTCCCAGTGTCCCCTGGTCTCCCAGTGTCCCCTGGTCTCCCAGTGTCTTAGTTTTCCAAAATGTCTGTGTCTCCCAGTGTCTGTGTCCCCATGTCTGTGACCCCATTTCTTCCAGTGTCCCCAAATGTCTCAGTGTCCCCATGTCTCCCAGTGTCTCCTTGTCTGTATCCACAAGTGTCCCCATGTTTCCCAGTGTCCCCATGTCTCCCAGTGTCCCTTAGTATCCCAGTGCCCGAGGACACACTGAGACATGGGGACACAGACACTGGGATACTAGGGGATTGGGCGACATGGGAACACTGATACATAGGGACACTGATGCCAGACTGGCCTTCCAATTCTTGTCAGTTCTGGTCACGTGGCCCACCATTTTACCCCACCCATCGACTTCCTGCTACACTGGACACTGCTGTTAGGGGGTATGGATTTACTTGAAAGATGAAAGCATAAATTAGAGAGAGAGATTAACAGTATGTGTTTTCTTATAGCTGCATCCTTTGAGTTTCCCTCCAGCACCAACTCAGATACATGACGCTTGAGAGCTATGACTGTTTTAGTGTTTTTGGTCGATAAGATTCTGTAATTAGGCCCCATCATAATTGTCAGCACCAAGCCCACTGGGCTCTTAATCTGGTCCTGCTGCTAACACCTCTCCCTATACAACCAAGCATTCTGCTAGCATTTCCTGCTGCTCTATTACATTGTCTGCCTACCTTTAAACCATCACAAATAATCACCCCTAAATCCCTTTCCTCAGATGTTGAGGTTAGAACTCTATCAAATATTCTGTACTCTGCCCTTGGGTTTTTACGTCCAAGATGCATTATCTTGCACTTATCCACATTAAATGTCAGTTGCCACAACTCTGACCATTTTTCTAGTTTACCTAAATTATTTACCATTTGGCTTATCCCTCCTGGAACATCAGCCCTGTTGATGTATCATCAGCAAAAAGACATACCTTACCATCAAGACCTTCTGCAATATCACTAGTAAAAACATTAAAGAGAATGGGTCCAAGTACAGATCCCTGAGGTACCTCACTGGGGCCAAGCCCATGCTTCAAATATACTCCATTGACTACAACCCTCTGTTGCCTGGCACTCAGCCACTGCCTTACCCATTCAACAATATTGGAATCCAAACTTAAAGATTGCAGTTTATTGATAAGCCTTCTATGTGCAACAGTGTCAAAAGTCTTACTGAAATCTAGGTAAGCAATGTCTACTGCACCACCCTGATCTATTATTTTAGTTACCCAATCAAAAAAATCTATAAGATTAGTTTAGCATGATCTCCCTGAAGTAAACCCATGTTGTCTCTGATCTTGAAATCTATGTGTTTTTACATGTTCAACAATCCAATCCTTTAACATGGTTTCCATTACGTTCTCCACTACTAAAGAAAGGCTTACTGGCCTATAGTTGCCCGACTCCTCCCTACTACCTTTCTTGTAAATGGGCACAACATTCGCTAACTTCCAATCTTCTGGGACTACTCCTGTTAATAATGATTGGTTAAATAAATCAGTTAATGGTTTTGCTAGTACACCACTAAGCTCTTTTAATAACTTTGGGTGTATTCCATCAGGTCCCATTGACTTATTTGTCTTTACTTTTGACAATTGAAATAGAACCTCTTCCTCTTCCTTATTTTACTGACTGTGCTATTTTCTCTTCCGTGTGTGATTTGGAAGCTCTTATAACTTGCTTAGCCTCTTTCTGCCTAATCTTATAGATCATTCTGTCTTCCTCACTCTGTTTTTTTTTATAATTACTAAATGCTTACTTTTTTTTTTTTTTTACTATTTTGGCCACATCTGTGGAGTACCACAGTGGTTTCTTGAATTTGTGGCTTTTACTGACAAGCCTAATGCAATTTTCTGTTTTGATTGATTCAGAACATCTGAAGGGGATTTATGCAAGTCTATTATGTATCTTGTAACTGCACCCCCAGGCATAAAAGGGGTTAAAAGCCGTTTAGTAGATCTTCCCTTCCAGAGACACAGGCACAGCTACTGCAAAACACCAATCTGCCGAACAGGAAACCATATGAATGCCGTAAACAGCCGAATAGGAAAAACCATACGAATAGGTTTACACTCCTAGCAGTCAAACTGGAACATCATACAATAAATCCCCCCAAGAACGAGATAAAGCTCCGTGTTGAGGGTCAAGCAGTGAACAGACAGAGCTGTGGTTTTATTGTTCTTATATACACATTAGTACCACCCACAGTGTTTTGGAACACAACCAATAAACACATACAATACACTCAGACACTCCCACACAAAATCCTCCCCTCTGCCTGTGAAACAATTACCTTACACAATGGGTAATGTAATTATCACAAGCAGAGAAATACAATTTTTCCACATTATTCATAACTTGAAAAGTATGCATCACATTCACATAAACATTTTCAGAATCAGCATACTCCAAATACAAACATATGTCAAAATCATCCAAATTGGTCCAGTTGTTCAAAAGATAGATCGTAGTTCTTTGTGACCAAAGGAAGCATGGCTTTTCTGCCCAAAACCAGTTTCACAGAGTCTTCTATCCTGGAGATAATTGGGAAGTAATCCAATTATCTCCAAGGACAGAGGCAAAACTCCATTGAACACATGGCAGCAAAAGACAATAAAACACATAAAAACATATAACTGTGTAGCCATTGCACAAAACAGGTACATTCAACATATTCCCAGATAGCTCAGATCTGAGTGCTCATTATTACTGAATGGCGCTCAGAGCACACACATACAGTTCAATTGCCATGGAGCCAAAGTCTTTCCCATAGTCTTTCATTATACGAATGGGCTCCATGGCATAGCTATCTGGGGTATCACCGCTCAAACAGGGCCAGCACCGAATGACCCAGCTTTCGTGTCTCCGCAGGGGAAAATCAAGCGTTTCAACATGGGGCCATAGTCTAAAGGCAGCAGGTGGGCAACCAGGCTCCTCCAATGCACAGTGGCGAGATTGGTCTTGTCACATATCTAGTTTCTTCATTAAATGAAACTTGAAACTATATTTATTAGTGCTCACGTTCTTGTAATAATGTCATGCAACATACTATGGCAGGGATATTTGGGGGCAGGGCCGATGCAAGGATTTTTGCTGCCCTAGGCAAAAAAATATTTGCCACCCCATTTGTTCCACCCACTAATGTAGACTAACATACACTGACCCAAGTGGACAGACACACACGCACTGACCCATACAGACACACACTGACCCATACAGACTGACATGCAGAAATACCAATTCTTCACAATTATTTTCACAATTCTTCACAATTCTTCAGACTGCTTTTCATGTGTTTCTGGACGATTCCCTGTGCCTTTCTGCCTTCACTCCGTCTCAGCCCCTGCTATGCTCCCACCCACTTGTCCCCACGTGCAGGGCAAGGGGCGGAAGTTAGAATTTGAAGCGCCCTCGCACTGTTGCGGCAATGGGAGTCCTTGTGGAGGGCCTTGCTGAGCAGGCTGAATTGGATGCCACCAGACCAGTCTTACACCAGGTGCTAGATATGTAAGTGCTCCCTAGTGCCCAGTTGCATGGCCGACGTCATGTTTTGTATAATTATTTAAACATAGAGGGGCGGCCAAATGAGCAGAGCAGGAAAGCTCCTGCCGGCTTCCCCCTTAAAGCAGCGCCCTAGGCGGCTGCCTAGTTGGCCTATAGGAATTGGGGATTATCTTAATTTAGTTTATTTTTAACTCTTTGTGTTTATGAGGTCATATAAGTAGATAATTCAATCACCAGCAAGTATGTTACTGCACTATCAAAAACAGCAAATTGAAGCAGGGGTTTTGTTGGTTTACAGACTTTACTTCAGCTCAAATTGCTTTCATAGCATGCCCTATTTAATGATATCTTTATATTTGTACTATTGAGATAACTACAAACCATTTCAAGCAGTTTGATGAATAAATAGCGGTCAAACTAAACTCCAACCAAGCATTAGGGTACTTAGTCAAGCATTGAAAGCCAATGATTGAAGTCCACAGTGATACATTCATACACAGAACAATTTGAAAGAAGGGGAACAAAGGTTTTTAGACCAATAATAGTAGGTGTGAATGTACCAGCTAAAGAGGGAGATTAATCAAGAGAGAAATGTGCTTCTCTCTGGCAAAGAGCTAAATAAGGTCTAATCAACATGAAATCAATGCAATGTCTAGGACACATAATAGCATTTGTTTTACCTTGATAAATTTCCCACAAGATGTCCTAATATTATCTTTACGGTGGATAATATATAGTATAAGGTTGAATAGGCTTCTGTTTAAAAGGGAAATACTTGTTACCCTTGGTGATTTTACCAACACTGGTTATAATGTTTGGATGTGTAACTGTCTATGAAATAAGAACACAACAGATATTTGCAGTTATGAGGAAGAAGATGTGTTTAATTACCTAACTGTTTAATTTATTATATTCTTAAGATGTGTGGTTTGTCGTCAGAGACAATCCAGGCCTATAAGATAAATATATCCTGTTTGCTTCTCCGAGCCACTGGAATGTGGTGAAAGTTGCAGAATCATGTTCATTTTTAAACTTAGCTGAATAAACAGAGACTTCAGTTTGTGTACGTTCTGCATGTGTGCTTTCTTAAAGCTTTTAGAAGCTGCAGTTGCCTAGCACTATTAACAAGTCAACAAACGTTATAAAAATATTGAATTATTCACTCGCTGTTCTCTCGACTATTGTACATTCACCAAAATCTTCAGGAAGGACTGAAAATGCCAAAAAGGTACCGAAAGAGTTAATTTCTTCATGATTAATTTTTCTTTTTTTTTTTTTTGCGAACCACTGTTACAAAATATTACCATAAAATTATCTCATATTAGATTTTCTTTCTAGCCACATGCTAGGTTAATTCAATGCTATTTTCCCAACAGGAATCTCGGTGAGACTAATATGATTAACTTATTTAAATTAGATATTCACAACATTGCTGTGAAATTATTTAAAGCACAGCCGACGCCAACAATATATGGCAAGAATATAATCAGACTCAAACTGTTAGAAAGCAGGTGATATGCATTACACTTTAAAAGAGGTGTAGTCACTAAATAGTGACTTGTGGTGACGAGTATTTTTCTTTAGTTCTGTTATTTTACTTTAAGTTTAAAATTCTGTTGTCATTACAGTATTTAAGATTGTGAGATTAGAGATTTAATTTTAAGGAAAATTTATTTTTTGTAGATTGACAAGAGGTCCAATTTCAAGAACAATGATTATAGATAATGTATATCACAAGCACAATGCCCTCTAGGCCAGTGGATCCCAGTCCAGAACTCAAGACACAAATATTGCTCTCAGTTTTGTCAGTGTTCCCATTAGAGCAAAAATGGGAAATGTGTGAATCCTGGTCTGCTGGTAAGCCTTGAGGATTCACTTGGCAATCATTGCTCTAGGCGGCATTACTATTTTGACATTTATTCACTAAGCAGCAACCTGTGGGGAAATTAATACTGAATTTTAAATGCATAGAAAAAAATGAATCCAAGAGCAGTCTACAAAAGAAACGTTGCCATTTCCATCACCAATATTTATTTAAAGGAACAATGCATGCACCATAAAAGCTTCAGTTGATTGAAGTGGTTATGGTGCCTGGAGTCAAACATCAATGCAACTCACTTCAACTAAATGATTAGTAGAGATGTTGGTCTCCTGCAGCCTGCAGCCCAGCCTTCAATGAAGACCTGGCAGATAAGCACTTCTTCAGATAATATGTCCCTAATCCTTGGCATAAATTGGCATAGTGCGAGGCAGAGCAGCTTGGCCTCAACAATATTGTCTTTGGAGCCTTGGCATCATGCTGTTTGGAACACAGTATCTCTAATAAATGGTGGATAAACCAAAACAGTGATGTGGAATCCTGTGCCCACAGACTCCAGACATTACAACAACGTAATCATTTGAAGTGGTTATGGTGTCTACAGAGTTCCTTTAAGTAATTTGTGTTCTGGAATAAATTTGAATGATTTGATGGTTTTAAGTGAACTGGAATAGTGTAAAATTGATACAAATTATTTGATTTGTATTGAATAGATTAGGATGTTTTTAGCATTTACTTGGGATTGTTTGGAATTGCATAGTTACACAGCTGAAAAGAGTATTGTGTCTTTCAAGTTAAGCCTTTCTCACATTTGTTTTTGCTGTTGATTGAAAAGAAGGCAAAAATCCTTGTGTAAACCCGCCTTTTGAAAAGACTAGATCAGGGTAGACAACCTTCAGCACTCCAGATGATTTGGGCTACATTATTATTTTTATTTTTGACACTTATATAGTGCCAGCTTATTCACAGCACTTTATAATATTAAAAAAGGGGGACATTTCACAATAAACGAGATGATTAAAATATTTTACAGGAACAATAGGTTGATGAGGACCCTGCTCAAATGAGCTTACATTATGAGATGATAAAGCATCAAATGTAGTCCAAACATCTGGAGTGCCGAAGGTTGCCTACCCCTAGGCTAAATCTACCCACCTGTGTCTGCCAGTGGCAATGCAACAGCTGTGAAGAAAAGTAGTACAGCCCCAAACCCCTCATCGATTCCTTGATCAATACCAGGTCCTTTACATCCTCTTCCTATAATTATGCCGGGTAATGCCTAAAGTACGTATTTCACTTAAATTGTTTATTTTAACTTCACAATTTGACATTATGTATTATATTATACATATTACAAGCAAATGTCTTAATTTCTTCCCATTTAGCAATACAATCCCAATTCCAAAGCAACTGTCCTCTATTAAAGGTAAGGCCAAAAAACTATTAGGAATGAATTAGGTGAATTATAATATATGACAAATGGTAGTGGGATATTTGAAAAGAAAAGGGTAGATTCAGTAGGAGTGTGTGTGGTGGGGGGGGGGGGGCTTAAAGGTGAAAGACACACCTAGATTGCAATATTATTCTTAGCAAATTATACAGTGGTGCGCTATATCATTTTGAAAACACAAATAATGTAAAAGGTCATCTCTTTGATATTGAGACTGATATGACACAGCAGTACCGCAGGCCGGCGGATCACCAGTAGCAGCACCCCTCCTACTCCCCCTCCCCCAAAAAACCATATAAAAATTTTTTAAAGGGTTCTCTTTTCTTACAGTGTAAAGACTCCTGTCCCAATACAAAACCGCCCCTTCACAAAATCCTGCACATTACACACACATTTTACAGGCAGACAGTCACACACTCCAGTTACGGGCAGACGGTCGCATACAGTCACCAGGCGAACAGTCACACATACACACATTTCTCCGTCGCGACCCGTTTATCAGCTGTTTGCTTTGTGTGAGCTGTACTGGCCGCCTGACACCCCTAACTACCATGGGACGCAATGGAAGCCCACGGTCGCACAGCCCCCACCAACCGGGGCGATTGCAAGGATTTTACTTGCGCCCTAGGCAAAGTAAAAGTTGCGCCCCATGTGACATCACAATGCCCCACCCATATGATTTTCCATGTTAACTAACGCCAGTGCTGCAGTGCCGCCGTGTTTACATTAAAAGGCCTGCAAGGACAGGCTATAGACACCAGAACCACTACATTAAGCTGAAGTGGTTCTGGGGACTATAGTATTTCTTTAATGTGAGGTAAATTAGAGCTTAGTGCCACGAATAATATACTAGATTGCCTACTTACAACCAGATGGGGATGATGATGAGCTCTAGCTGCAGTCTGGCTCCACTGGTCTGGTGCAGAACAGGCTCTCTGGAGGCGGTTTGTAACTGTGGTCACAAAAATCAATGTTCTGGGAGAACGGGAAGCAGCTCCATTTTTTGGGGGTCCTTTACACAGCTCAAGGTCTGGGTCCAAGGGTCCACCTTCATGTTCCACCAATGAGTTTGTTCACAGGGGGTGGAGTGTGTAAGGGATGTCCTGATATGTGTGTAAGGAATGCATTGTGTGAAATTGTGTTTGGCAATGTGTGGGGAGGGCTGCAGGTGTTTTCTGTAACCCATGTATGGGATAGGTAGTGTGTGTAGGGGGTGCGTGAGGTGTGTGTAATGAATGCATTGTGTGTTTCTGTGTGTGTAAGGGTGCATTGTGTGTGGCTGGTTGCATTGCTTGTGTATGTATGCATACTGTGTGTGTAATGCATTGTGTGTTTTTCTGTGTGCAAGGGGTGCATTGTGTGTATGTGATGAATGTCAATCTCTCCTCCCGCTCCAATTTCCTTCTCCTCCTCCCAATTTCTCTTTCCCCCCTCCTAATATCTCTTCCCCCCTCCTAATTTCAATTTCTCTCCCCCCTCCTAATTTCAATTTCTCTCCCCCCCCTCCTAATATCTCTCCCTCCTCCTAATATCTCTCCCTCCCTCCTAATTTCTCTTCCCCCCTCCTAATTTCTCTCTCGCCCCCCCTCTCCTTTCTCACCCCCCCTCTCCTTTCTCACCCCCCCTCTCCTTTCTCTTCCCCCTCCTTTCTCTTTCTGACCTCCTTTCTCTTTCACACCTCCTTTCTCTTTCACACCTCCTTTCTCTTTCACACCTCCTTTCTCACCCCCCCCTTTCTCCTCTTTCTCACCCTCCCTCCTTTCTCACCCCCCCTTTCTCCTCTCTCACCCCCTCTCTCACCCCCCCTTCTCCTTTTTCACCCTCTCCTCCCCCCTCTCTCCTCTTTTTTCACCCCCTCCTTTTTCATCCCCCTTTCTCCTCTTTCCACCCCTCCTCTGCTTTTACCACCCCCCTCTCACTTACCCCCCCACTTCCTCCTCTGTCACCTCCCTCTCCTCCTTTTTTCACCCCGCTCCTCTTTTCACCCCTCCTTTTCACCCCTTTCTCCTCTCTACTTACCTTCTCCTTTTTCACCCCTCTCTCCTCTTTTCACCCCCTCCTTTTCCATCCCCTCTCCTCTTTCCACCCCCCCTCCTCTTTTCACCCCCCCTCTCTCCTTTTTCACCCCCACTTTTCTCTCTGTCACCCCCTCTCACCTCCTTTTTCACCCCCCTCTCCTCTTTCACCCCTTTCTCCTCTTTCTTTTTTGCCTCGCTCCCTTGCCTTTTCCTCTTTTCTTTACCCTCTCTCACCCCCTTTCTCTCCTTTTTCACCCCTCTCTCTCCTCACTAACACCCCCCCCTCCTTTTCCTCACCCCCTCCTTTCTCCCCTGCAGCACGGCGTGAGGCCAGTATGGTCGGCGGTGCCGGTGACATCTGCCTGTGGGCGGGACTGTGGCTGGAGAAGATACACGCACAGGTGTGCACTTCCGCATATTGGTGCGGCCGGAGCCCTGGAAGACAACTGCACTCACCGTCGGACTATCATGCTGCGGGAAGCAAGGCAAAACACAGCAAAAGTAAGGAGGAGCGGCAGGCGCTTCCCTCCTGTCAGCCTCTCAGCAGGCTGCGCCCGGGCGGTGCGGTCCGCCCTCATGGACGCACCGCCGGGCAAAACTGCAGCCGCCGGGGCCTCTTTACAGAGCGCTCGGGCGGCTGCAGCATGGGGGGGGGTTGGCGGAGCTGGTCTGGCACCCCCCACCCGGCTGGCACCCGGGGCGGACCGCCCCCCCCGCCCCCCCCTTAGTACGCCACTGTGACACAGTATCCCAAATGAGAATCGAATGTAGCTGTGTGCATACAGAACATACAAAATGTATAGATCAGTGGTAGCCAAATTATAGACTCTCATTTTTTTGTAAAACTACAACTCCCATAGTCATAACAAGTAGTTCATTTTTGGAACCATGCAAATAAGCATTTTGATACATTTAATTTAATAATACATTTTAAGCATTAGGTGGAGAATTACTTCATACTGGAGACAGAGAGATTTTTGAACAATGTACTTGACATCCCTGACTAAACTAGGAGATTGTTCATTGAACTGCAAATTTTACAAAGCTAACCGTATCTGCTGTCTCATATCCAGCTCTTGGAAAAGGCACTGATCTTGAGAAAGCCATAGCTACCACAATCCTTGTTTACTATTTGTATGCAGACAGTGATGGAAGAATCACCAAAGCTGATGCTATAGATATGCTGCAAACTCAGTTTCACAACTTTACACAGGTAATACAATTGAGGCTTCCATTTTATCGCATGATATATTGGGCTAGTGGTAGAGAAAGTGTATAGGTATGTTATTATTAATATTGTCTTATACATCAGAGTAATTTTAATGAGGAGGTTAGAGTAAAAATGTCCAACTAGGTTTACATAATAAAATATAGTCCTGTTAAAGGGACACTATAGTCACTAGGACCACTACAGATTAATGGCTTAATGTTGTAGTTATGGTGTAACTACTGTAAAACTTTTAATGCAAACACTGCCTTTTCAGAAAAAAAAGGTATTGTTTACATTGCTGGCTAGTAAGTTCACACTCTGCATGGAAACACTGAATGCTCTCCATAGAGATGCATTGATTCAATACAGCTCTATGAAAAGATGCTAATTGGTGCAGGACAGTATTTCTCTTCACATGCGCAATACCCTTCTAATATTTTCTTATGGAAAGAATGATGATCTCAGACATGGTGGCAAGGCCAGCTGCAGCAAAACTGACGTGGCAATGAATAAAACGGAAGTACAGCTACCTTTTCACTGCAGTGTTATGAATACGTTTGTAATTTTTTTTTTTTTTTGGTATGTTGAGCGACTCATATAATTGATTAAATTAAATCTAGTATAATTAGTAAAGGTGTGTAGAGTGCATGTTTACATTAATATGTTCTCTGTTATTCTCAAAACAGGGGCAAGAAACCAAACCAAAATACAAAGAGTTAATGACGGACCTGGAACAAGACAAAGATAGAAGAATAGACTTTGAAGATGTTATGGTCCTTCTGCTTAGTGTCTCTCTAATGTCCGACCTTTTCCAGGAAATTCGACATGTGAAGAACACAAAATAGAAATAGTACACCATAACAATGTTGTATTGTTCCACTAAGATTTAAAGGGGAATTTTTACTTCTCTGTGCTAACTTTATTATGTGATACTACATTTTATTTGAAATGCATAATAAATATTTTGAAATTGCCATAATATCCCCATTTAATCCTTGCACAGCCATTGCACACATTGTTTCTATTTTTCTTCCTTTCTCTATGCTCTCTCTGTGCTGAGGTTTGCTTATTGACAAGGAGCCAAGATGGAGGCAATCATGCTCAGGATAGGGCGAAATACAGGAGAGTGGATTCATATATTTAATTATATTTTTTCAGACCTCAAAGACACATATTTATTGGATATAGTTGACAACACATTATTAAAATATTTTGAAGTGACTGCTCTCCTTTAAAGCTAAACAATAGACTTGAAGAATTGTTTAATTCAAAACTGTAATTCGTCTAGATTTGGGCCGATCGGGTGATCGATTGAATTCCCAAAACTCAGAGTTGAAATATAGCCTAATCACAAACCAGCCAAAACGTGCAATGGTCAAGCATGTTCATTTTGATTTGTGATTCTGAATTCTACCCACAGTGCCAAAAAAATGAGCTGATGATGGACAAAAAAGATGATTGATGGCTGAGGGTCAGACACTGAATGTTGGTTCTATTTACATATCAAGTACGACGTGATCAATAGAGGGAAAAAAGAGGAGCAGTAAAATAATATATATATTTACACAATATATATTTAATAAATGCGTACATATTTCAATATAGGTTTATTCATTGTTATGGAATAATCTCAATAAGAATAAAGATATAAAGAGTATAACAGAAGAGGAGTCTATAATATTATTCCAAACTTTAAAAGAATGGAATAATTTAAAAAAGGAATTTAATATTGAGAATTTAATTCTTTATCATTGCAATCTTTAGAAGAGATTATGACACAAATTGATCTTAAAAATTGGTATAATAACAACGATCAGATTAATGTTTTCAATGATAGACAGCTGAAAAACTATGCTGAACTTTCAACTCTATTTGATTTTCCCTCAAAAGAAATATTTAATTATTTCTGATTAAAAAGTTTTTTGAAAGAACATATTATGAATAGAGATGATAAATTGGGAGGTTTAATTAACCACTTAAGACCGTAGGGCGTACTATTACGCCCTATTTTAGGTGGCTCTAAACGCCGGAGTAACACTACGCCCTCTGTTTTTTTTTTTTTACTTACCCGGTCGCCGGTGATCCCACACAGGCGATCGCGGTTGGGGGGACTCCCAGGGAGCCCCCCGCAGCACATCCAGCCTCCTGCAGCCCTCCCGGCCATGTGAGAGTGAGGTCCTTGCGAGGACCTCACAATCACTTGGCCAGGTTAGCTGGCTGCTGTATTAATGGCAGGTAGTCCCCCTGCTGGCTGGAAATCAAATTAAATTAAAGTTAAAATAAGTGTTAAAAAAATAAATTATTTACTTAGATTATTTATTTATATATATATATATATATATATATATATATATATATATATACACACATATATATATATATATATACACATATACATACACACACATACACTGTCTAGGTGTATTTTACTATTAAAATATATATATTAATATCAAATTACACGTAGACTGATACTGATTAAATATATATATAATTATTGTTATATATATATATATATATTTATATATAATATAAAAAAATGTGTAAATACGTTAAAAAATAAAATGAAAAAAATAATTAAAAATAAATAATTAAATATATAGATGTATGTTATTTCGTTCTAACTGTATTGTGATATTAATATATATATTTATATCAAAATACACGTAGAACAAAATAATATATATATCCATATACATTAATATATACGTATATTTGTGTAAGGTGCTTAAGATAGTACAGTGTGAAATACCATGAATAAGCGTAGGATGATAAAAGGAGCAAGTCGGTTGTGGTGTGCCGAAACCGACGATGAGGTAGGCCTGAGAAAGAAGAGGGCCCACCCAGGAAAAGAAATAGAAAGGAAATAAATGTTAAAAGTGGTGTGGTGGGAGGGTCATTCAACGCTGACCTCGAACGGTAAGGAGCCAGGCAAGGGGAGTGCCTTAAGTAGGCTAGGGGTAGCAAACCAGCACCTCCCACAAATGCAGGCAAATTGCCTTAATACTTGTGTTAGGTGCTTAAGATAGTACAGTGTGAAATACCATGAATAAGCGTAGGATGATAAAAGGAGCAAGTCGGTTGTGGTGTGCCGAAACCGACGATGAGGTAGGCCTGAGAAAGAAGAGGGCAAAAATTAAGTAATCAAATTTATTAACAGACAACCAATACATATACATTTATCAACCAGACATGTTTATGAAAGCATCCCTTAATTCTTGTACTGGGTTCGGTATGTACCGTGAGTAAGCGGATGACTTCCAGCGCCCCAGTGTTTTGATAACATGAGTTGGGATGTTGAAACTGGAGGCTGTGGACGCGGCTCCTATACGAAAGGAGTGTCCTGAGTAATTGTTTGCGTTGAGGCCCAGTTGTGTGAGCAAGGACCTGACGTAGGTCATGAAGGTTGTAGTGGTGAGTACTGCACCTTGTAGTTGTAATAACGGTTGCGAGGGCAGTAAGTGATGGTGCTGTATGTAGGCATCAAGAAGCTTGACGGGACACCATCTGTTGTGCGTGGGATAGTACGGAATGTTTACAGGTATGTGCTGACTGGTTTTGGAGTGAGGTAAAGACAGGATGTAATGATCCATATGTTTTGTCAAGTGGGAATAGAGGAGGAATGGAGTGGTTTGGGTCGTGGAGGTCATAGTGAATTCTCTGGGTCGTAGAAATCCATAGAAAGCGATGTATATTGCTGTTTTGATGATAGAATTCGTATTAGTGTCAAACAGTTTTAGGTCGAGTAGGTTAGATAATGCTTTGAAGATATGGTTATCTATGGGTAGCCTCTGGGCCAAATGTGTGGGTTCTGATTTTTGAATACCTCTGAGTATGGTCTTAATTTGGTGAGAGGCCATGAAACTGTTGTTATTTGGGTGTAAGATGAGCATGTGGTGTTGAATGCCAGTGAGATAGAGTTTGATGGTGTTGTATGACATTTTGAGTTTAAGGTGGCAAAAGGAAGCAAACCCCAAAAAGATGTCATAACAAACGGTTGTATGATGTTATGTTCCAGAAGGAATCGTTTGAATAGTGTGAAAGCCCTGCTGTATGTTTTGTTTGTATTGTGTGAAAGTGCCAACTGAGACAATGTCCTGCTATGCTGCATGATGACGTCTAGTCCAGTATGAGTTGTTGAAATGTTGGAGTGATGGTGGCTGTGGGTGCTGCTGATGGGAGTGCTTGATGAAACTCCTGAAATTTAAAGCGAGACAAACTGTCAGCAGCTGTGTTATATACACCTGGCACATGGAAACAACATAGGAAGAAATTATGACAAGCTGCCAACCAAGTGAGTTTCCTCAGAAATCTCATAATTGTAAGAGATTTGGAACGACCTTTGTTGATTATGTGACAGGTTGCCTGGTTGTCTGAGTAACAACGCACTGGCGTATTAGCCCATAAATGACCCCACGCTACGGCAGCCGCCACTATGGGATAGATCTCAAAAAGAGCTGAGGTAGTGGAAAAACCTTCCAAATCCAGAACTGCTGAAGGCCAGCTGCCCCAAAGCCATTCGTTCCCAAAAATTGCTGCAAAACCAGTGGTAGATGCCGCATCTGACCAAATGGTAGGACATGATTCAGTCAATTGAGGGAGGAACATACTTTTACCATTCCAAGTGGTTAAAAACCTCTTCCACATGTTTAATCTGCCGTAGCTTGGGCATCTAAGGACAATCTGTGCGTGTCATGTAGAAAAAGTGGGAAACGATGCAATAGTCGTGAAATAAAGGAGTGGCCTTGAGGTATGATGCGCATGCAAAATTTAGTGACCCCAGCAGGGACTGTAGTTCTTTGCGGTTGCAAGTGCCGAGCTGTAGGTAGTTGTTTATGTAAGTGAGAATATTCTCTATCTTATCGTATGGTAGGCTTGCTTGCATTGTGGCAGAGTCTAATTGGATACCCAGAAAGGTGATAACCGTGTCTGGCCCTTCTGTTTTCTTTGGGGAGATGGGTACACCTACTTGCTCAAACAGCTTAGTGGTAGCTTTGAGGCTAGTGGGAGGTGCAGTATTCTCCTCGACCAGTAGGAAATCGTCCAAGTAATGTAATACTGTAGGGCATCCGGCTATGTTCAATAGTAACCAGCATAATGCTTCGGCAAATGTGTCGAAAATAGCTGGGCTACTTTTGGACCCAAAAGTTAACCGGGAGAAAAAATAGTAGTTCCCGGACCACTTGATGCCATGCAGGTGCCACAGTGTGGGGTGGATAGGGAGTAATTTGAAGGCGTTAGTAATGTTGGTCTTACTGAGCCAGGCTCCAACCCCTGCTTGTATGATAGCTGTAATGGCGTGATCTATGGTGGTGTATTGCAGAGAGAATTCCTCAGAGGGTATGAGGGAATTAAGACTGGGGTTGGCCGATGAGTGGGGAGCCGATAAGTCAATGATGAGTCTCTGTTTTTGGGAAGATTTCCCTGTGACAATACCAATAGGGTTGGTGCGCCATTCTGTGAATGGAGGAGTTCTAAAAGGCCCCAATACAAAGCCCTCATCCACTTCTTGGTTTATGAGGGTGTCAACCACTGTGGGGTTGTGTTGGGCGGATTGTAGGTTAGGGCATTCCAGAGTTCCAGCTGGTATGTGTAGGATACCTGTGTGGAAGCCTTCTGTTAAACCAGAAATAAGAAAATCTACCAGGTGTCTAGATGGGTGCTGAGACATCAATGCTGTGAATACTGGCATATTAATGGACGTAAGGTAAGGCTTAGAATACATTTTATTTGGACACATGGTCTTAGCATGTGCCCTAAAACATTTTGAACAGACATGCAATAGTCTACATCCACTGTAATTACAAGACCCAACATTGAAATTATTACATATCTGGGACTTGCCCAGAAACTTGATTGGGCGTCCCAATTTGTCTTTGGATAGTTTCCCTGGATCCCCAGAGGAACTAGTTCCTTGTGTGGAGGCATGTCCGTCTGCCGTGTTGGGACAAAAATTAGTAGTATGGGCTGTGGAGGAGCAGTATGCACAAGCTGGTGTTCTTAGACCTGCAAAGTGTCTGCAAAATAAGACGGTATCAATCCTTCCCCAGTTGGATCGTGTACCGTACTGGGAGAAGGCTCCAGCCACTTTTGCAGAAAAAGACCTATGGTAGTCATAGAAT